GTGCGCCCGGCAGCCTCCCCGTGCGGCCTCGTTACCACAGCGCCTCCCTGGGCCGGAGGAGGGCGGTGCCCGAGTCCAGCTTCTGAGGCGCCATCATGGGCCCTGGGCGCCATCATGGTCCACGGTGTCATGATGTCCTCTGGGCATCGCCATGGTTCTTGGGCACCATCATGGTCCATGGTGTTCACTGGGCATCGCAATGGCAACTGGGCATCATGATGGTTCTTGGGCACTGTCGCGGCCTTCTGGTGCCACCCTGCCTAGTGGTCACTGTCATGGTCCTTGGGCACCATGATAACCAATGGGTGCTATGCTGGCCACTGGTGCTGTCATGGCCCCTGGACACCCTAGTGGTCCCAGGCACTGTGATGGCTGCTGGGTGCTACCATCGCCCCTGGGTCCCGCTCTGGCCCCCATGACCCCTGGGTGCCATCAGGCCCCACGGCCACGTAGACTGGTGCTCCTTTTCCAATCCATGCCTTAATCAGGACCGAGCACAGCGCGGGTGGGGGCTCGTGGGGTCCGAGGGGAGAGAGGTCGCGAGGGAGAGTATTTATTATATATGGAGAGAGTTTTATCCAGAGACGCTTTTTGTTTTCTAAAAGGCGGCTATTTTGGTACTGCGGGGCTGCGCGCGGGGGTCATTGCCCACACTACAGTCTATGCAATAAGCAATTCTGCTACCCAGCTTTTGTATGCGGGGCACCTGCGGGCTGCAGCCCTCTGCATTTTGCAGCTCTTTCTATTAAAGACGTGTGAAAGTTGCTCCGTGTCGGGGGTACAGGCGCTGGGGGCTGCACTGACACGTGTGTGTATGTGTCTGCACATACGTGTGTTTGGGAGGTGCCGCGTCAAGGGCACCCCTGTCTGCCAGGAACGCAGGGGAGCAGGCAGGGATTCCTCCCAGCCTGGGGCCCTGGGACTCCACGCATTGGCACAGGGACAGGAGCACGGCGGAGCCCCGCAGCCACCCAGGAGCAGAGCAGTGCGGAGCTGCGGGAGCGCTGCAACGCCAGCCCTCGGCTGCCGCCGTCCGGCCTTGCCAAGCAGGGCTCTTCGCTGCCTTGTTGCCAGAGCAACTTCCTCGAGCTGCAAACAAAGCCTGGCCCAGGCGCGCAGACACGGAGAAGCGGTGCGGGAGCTCAGGCAGGGTGCAGAGCGTGCGGAGCAGCGGGATCTCACCTGCCTCCAGCACCAGGCCCCATGGCAAGGCGCGCGGCGCGGCTGGCGGGGGAGGGAGCGCGCACGCCGGCGTTGCCGCGGGCGGGAGAGCGGGGGGCCAGCGGGCAGCGGTGCTGGGCAGGTAGGAGAGGGGCCCAGCAGCACTGCAGCCTTCGTGGGCCACTGGGGTTGGGCAGGTGGTAGCTCTGCACCAGGGCGAATGTGAGTGCGGATGTGGGGGGGGCCAGCCCCTGACCTCCCCCACCTCCCCACCGCAGTGCAGCGGGGCAGTCGCCCCCACGCACCTGCCCCAGCTCCCACCCGTCTCTCCCTGCCAGAAATCCCTTCTGCACCGCTTGGTCTTGGTGGCGAGGGGCTCCCCGGAGCTAGTGGACAAGCGTGAGCTGGCAGGTGGGATCCCCCTGCCCTTCCTGCGCCCGCCCACCCGGCTGCGGGGTGGGTGCCGAGTGACACGGGTGCTCCACAGGGTACTGGGAGAGGCTTTTCCAGAGCTTGCAGCGCTACTACCACGGGGAAGCCATCACGGGGCTGCTACTGCTGTACCCCTCCTGCATGGTCCACGCGCTCGAGGTAGGGGCCTCACAGCCAGCACAGGCGGGTGACACAGTGACCACGGTGCTGTCCACATCACTGCAGCTGCCCCCCGCTCTCCTCTCCTCCAACCGCAGCCGCTGCAGAGACGCAGCGCGGCGCCCTCTACCCTCTGCAGGCCTCCCGTGCTCTTCTCCGTGCTGCGGGCCCTGCGGGACGCGGGGCAGCAGGGACACAGGTGACGCTCCCCGGGCACTGGCCCAGCGCACCCCTGGGTGCTGCGCTCCGGTGGGGACGGCTGCTGGGAGCGCCTGGGAGAGCAGCTCGGGAAGCACCTTGGTCCTGAACATGCGTGGGGCTGCAGCGGGCCTGTCCCATCCCCGGGGCCAAATGCAGCCTGTGGAGGTGTCCCTGTGCCTCAAGGTGAAGGGGGCAGCTCCTCCGCTCTGTGCTGCCCCATCGCAGGCCACTTGTCATGGAGCCCAAGATCGTGGTGCTGTCACACAACATCCCCACGCGACTGTTCCACCAGTGGAGCTACCAGGCGCCGAATGTGTCCATGGGCCCGGTGGCTGCTGGTGCGGAGCCCCTTGAGGGCCTCGTGGGCGAGTGCTTGGCCACGCTGCTGCGCCTTGGCCAGCTGCAGCAGCACCCGGAGGTGAGGGTGGCACGGGGGGCAAATGGCCAAATGGCTCCTGTCAAATGGCGCTTGCTGCTTCGGGAGCTGCGGGAGACACTACGGGCTTGTTATGATTTTGGTGCCACCCGCATGGCTGGACCTGAACACCCGCATCCCTGCCCTGTCCCGCTGTGACTTTCAGAGCCCCCCGCACGGCCTGGATGCGCTGGTGGAGCAGGTCCCCGAGCTGCTGGGTTTGGAGGCTGCCGCGGGGCACCTCCTGGTGTGCGCTGAGCTGCAGAGCCCCGAGCAGTTCCTGCAGGCCTACGACAGCCCCCTGCACCCCAGCCTGGGCGCGGGTGCGTCGCGCACACAGGGGCCCGGGCAGCCTGTGCTGCAGCTCCCGGGCCCGTTGCAGCCTGCGCTGCAGCTGCTGTGTTTGCAGCGCTGCTGGCGTGGTCAGCGTCATGCTGCCACCTCCTTCCCTTCCACAGACCATGTGTGGCCGGTCTGGGAGCACTTGGCGCTCCCCTCCGCGGCCTTGCAGCAGACATGGCCTATGGGGACCCTGGAGCTCCCTGACGGCCGCAAGGATTCCCGAGCCCTGCAGCACGGAGGCTTTGCCGCAGGCCCTGGGATTGGCAGCTGACAGTGATGGGGAGAGGGTGCTGGGACCCTCAGCCCCCACGGACAGGTTGGGAGCTACTCAATGGGGTGGTGTGTCCAGTGAGGGTGCAGGGGTCTGGCACTGCCACGTCGCAGAGCTGCATGGGAGGGACGGGGCGTCATCGTCTCATCCCTGTCCCCAGCTAAATAATAAATCCGCACTTCTCATGTGGGCAGATGTTTTCCATCGCTGCCGGTCCCTGGGCTGGGCCCACCTCACTGGTGGCAGCCCAGGACACGTCCGATGTGCTGGGAGGAGGGCTGTGTGGCCACCTTACAGCCCGGTGGGCCAGTGACCAACCGCAAAGCTTCACTGGCCGGGTGAGAGCAGCGGGCCCAGGGCTCAGCCCCAAGGTGCCAGCAGGATTGCCCCGTGTCCTGCTCAGCTGTGGGGCAGCAGGGACCTGCAGGGGACAGCTGGGGCGCATCAGCGACTGGGATGCTCCCACCGTCACGCGGGGACATGGGGCTGGGGACGCCACAGGGACAGACTGAGGAGGAGGAGAGGCAGCGGCACAGGCGGGAGGCTTCGCGCTGCTTTTTGCTTGGGAACCAGATGTAACCACTGGAAAGCCGAGTGCTTGCGTCCTAAATCCAGACAGTTCCAACCTTTCTGGGCTCAGACATCCCAGCCTGCAGCTTGGAGCAAGTCCTTTCCCTCCAGCTTGCTGGGATCTGTGCAGCCTGTTCAGAGCCAAAAGCCCACTTCACCACTCAAATCCATCAGAAGCAGCCACGTTGAATAAACTCACTGTTTGCGGTGATTTCAACAGCAATTTGCACATTTATTTCAGGTGATTCTGCCCTCCCCCCTGCCCGTCCTCCCCTGATACAGGTTGGGTAATGAGTCACATCATGACCTGTGCACAAGCTCTAACATCCTAACTCGGAAGTACCGCGGGGAGAGAGGTTTTCCTGGCTTTGTAACACACGTAGGCTGGATGTGGGGTCCAGGAGGGCCGGGAATGCTAAGCATTTCAATTTACATTGTACATTTGTACACCAGATCCGATGGAATGGCTCAAATAAAACAAATATATATATATATATATACTCTTTTATATATACAAATATATAATATATATATATCTACGCCGACAGATATATATATATATAATCTCATTTCTTTGAAAAGGATAAAAGGTTACGTTGTCTCTGCATGCACAACCGAAGCCTCTGCTCCACAGCACCACCCCACGAGGACAAGGGATGCGGAGCCGGTGCCGCAGGGCGCCGGAGCGGCTGGCGCGGGGCCG